GCACCCCCCCCATCAACCCCCCCCCCTTAGGGTTATTCATTTAGGCTGAGGTTATAACCCCTCGTGACGCCAGCACGCCCACAGGTGAGCAGTCATCTGGTGGAGGTGCTTTCATGGAAATGGAAGACGTCATCGAACAGTCAACCGCAACATCGAACGACCACTCCTCTAACAAGGAAACTGCCACGAAAACTCGCCAAAGCAATGTGAGTAGTGCTGTGGTAAGATGTAGTCAGGTAGACTCACTCCTCCCCTCCCCTCCCGCACCCCGTAAGATGAAGAGTGAACGACACAAGCAGCAGCTGAACCTGAACGGTGAGAGACGGTCAGGGCATTCGTAATTTGCCGCTTGCTTCGTCACGGGGCATGTGAGCGTGAACTTTTTCAAATGTGAGTTAGCCTGCTAATTGAATCACTCAATCTCAAGAGGACAACGACATTTATGGCTATTTTTGGTTACATTGCCTATTGTCACAACCTACGCCATTTGTGGGCGCGTGCAAAGCGCATCAGTGCGGCTAATTACGACTACATGATCACATACCCTGAACGGTTTACTCAGATGCACGCGTTCGCGACAACGACTCAACGGAGCCGCGTCGCGACCGCCTGCGTCGAACCGTGGTTGTTTCAGACACGTTTCCTTGAGTATGTACACCATTCTATACATTCTAATGTATGTAGTCCTTTTTCCTTAAGGAGGTCAAGAGAGTCTCCAAGCTCATCCATGGACCCACGATCCGTATTCTACGAGGAGGAAATCAAACTATCAATGCTGCGCCAACAATTAGCCCTTGAGGAACTAAAGCTGTTGGTGATTAAAAATGATCTCGCTCGGGCTCAACTGGAAAGGGAAACGATAGCCACGGAACGGGAACGCTTTGAACTGGAACGGGCAAAGCATGTGAGTGTTACTGGTTACATAATGACAAAAATGTCTATAAAATTTCAAACCCTTAAAAATCCAATGAGCGACCCGCGAAATTCAGTGACCACCTCAAGCAAAATAAGAAGAGTAAGGAGGAAAGTAGTTCATAAGAATTTACCTGAACCATTCAGCCATAACCAATGGGTAACGCCGGTAAAACGTTGACCGCATCTTTTCCAGACGATCCTCAATTGGCGCGGTTGCATTCCAATTGGTAAACCTGGAAATATGCCACAGATTCGCTTCACAGTAATTCCTGGTGCTTCATATCTTGGCAGAATGGGGAGCACGAGGCCCAGGGGTAGGAGGGATTCTGTTCCGATTTTCGGAAATAAAAATTTTTGCGCATGCACGCGTGGAAATCAGGACAAGGAGATTACACTGGAAAAACTGAGCGAGTCCACCAGGGAGTGAAGCTTGTAAAAGACTGTGCAAAAGTGGGTTTACCGTAATGAACGAATACCCTCTACTGCACACGGAAATTGATTTACCCAACACAGACCTCCTTCCACGTTGGGCTCAGACAAGTAATCTTTCGTCTTCTTCGTCCAATATCTCAATTTTCCACAAGGGATCTTTTCCATGCATCCCACTCCCGAGCGGACTTGCGTTGTGAGTTTCGAAAGTGGCCAGAAAGGTTCGGAAAGAGCCCAGGAAGGTAATGGGAAACGGCAAATGTCGCCATAATATGATACTAGATTGATGGAAACGGTGTAGTAACATTGGTGCACGGTCCGTATATCAAATCCACAGTCGAACCATGCCAAGCCCGGCTGAGCCATTCATCCCATCAGGGCTCCTCGAAAGTTCCTCCTCTGGTACGACAGCACCCCCCCCCCTCATTTCTTCCCGAAAAACTGGGGTGTATAGCGCACTGCGTACTTGAAACAGGGGAAACCAAGAGGTACTCAAAAGCGAATATCACCACTCTTCACTCTAGAGGCCGGAAACGACCTCCTCTCCCCCCCCCCC